TGAGCAGAGATGCACATAAGTTTGTCATCATCAAAAAAGAAAAATATATTGAGCTAAGCATATTCTAGCATGGATGTGTTTTGATGATTGACAAACTAAGATCAACTATATTGAAAGAAACAAATTTCATGGACAAGATATTATGCTACTAAACTGTTAAATATATAAAATATGCAGATGTCAAAAGAACCAGGTTCGTAGCAGGTTGATGATCAGACACAAAATGATAGAATACATGTGCAAGTTAGACTCGAGAAGAAGGCCAATTCGTGGAGAAACAAGCAAAGATCTTAGCTGGAAGGATTTGTGTTCTAAAAGGGTTTTCAATAAATAAGGATAAACTTGCATAGAAGGAAAAGGTTGAGGTGGTAGAACCAAATAAGAAAATCAGATCAAAGTAGGAGAGATTTTCTTTAACCGAAATATTTTAAGTTTTGGAGCATTAATTGAAAAAATAATTCGGGCACCCTCACATCTATAAAAAAGAGATCTATTCCTAACGTTGAGAACTTAAGCTATTCGCACAAAATCAAGCATATTACTCTTGGCAATAGTATTCACGACAAGAAGTTGCTCTCAAGGGATTCAAGCTGCTCCACCATAGAACTTGTTCCTGAAGACGAAACTGCTTAGTTGTTTAGTTGTTAGGTTGAATATATTGTTCTTGATTGTAACCTATTTTGCTTTTAAGAAGTGTAATCATAGGTTAGCCCAAAAATATTGAAGTTTCCAATTTGTTTTCTAGACTAGATTTAGTTTAGAAAGGGGTTGTTATAATCATAAGTTATATTGATTGAGTTGTAACCTAAAATCGCTCTTTGAAGTTGGTGAAACTTTGAAGGTAAATCCTATAAGGATAGGTCGTGATTTTTATTCTCTCGCTATGTTCTTTACATTCTGCACTTTACTAGTTGTTTGTCTCTTTTGGGCATATCAAAGAATTAGGTTCTTTGATTAGCAAATATCGTGTAAGACAAAATTTACCCTCCCTCTTATGTCTAGGTGCAAGTTAAAAAAAATATAGTTATTTTATCATTTCTTAATTTAGGTACAGTTAGTTAATATACTTATCTTTATAGTATTTGATTTAATCTTGAGAGAAAACAAAAAAGAAAGTGGAAAATGAAATCCAATGAAACTTTGCCACGCGGCAAGATGCCCTGCACTTCCACAACGTCCATACATTCACAGGACTCTCACATTTTACTTTTGAAGGCACACAGATAGATACACATACAAAATTCACTCAACACAGACTGTTCGTTTACCAATTCTCAGAGAGCATACTCGTCGGCAGATCCCACTTTTCACTCACAGATGAACTCACACACAACACACACACTGAAAGAGGTCCCTCAGCCGCCGTCCAAACACCAGAGCACACCCCATTTTTACACACTATAGCTCACAAAGAACATACACAGAGAGCCAACAACTCCACTGTCCGCCGCCCACCTTCACCACTTTACACCCAAAAGTGGCGCAGTCACTTTGCAATTTCAGTTTGTTAAGCTTCGGCGAGTTCAAAACTTCGGAGTTCTCTGTTTTTATCAAAAACTGCTGAAAGCTTAAAGGTCCATCGTCTCTAAATTTAATCTTCTCATTTCCTGGTTTTATGATTCCTTGAAGTTCTTAATTTTATTTCTGTTTGTTCTAATTGGCCGTCCAAATTAACTCTGCTTTCAAGTGTCATTTGCTATAATTATTATCGACTACGTGTGGGCCGGGTGGCAGGGCTGAAAATTTGGCCAAATGCACACATATTCATTCTCCTATTCACATATTAGCCCATACTTATTTTATCATGAAATTTCAAATTAAAAATTTTAATCTCAAGACAATTCAAAATATTTTTATCCCACAAAATTAAAATTCAGAACAAACTGGTTAATTCTTATACACCAGTTGTTACCTGGTGTCATTTCTACCTGAAATTGAAGGCAGGATTTTGGTCCTATGTCACTAAATGTCAAAACATTGTTTTTGGGCTTCTAATGGTTTCTCCTGTATTATTCTGTTGATTTGTAGGACTAGGAGCATGCATAGGCGTGTTCACAAACCATAGGCAAACTTGGGATATCATCGGGGTTTATAGGCAAACTTTAGATCCATTTGATTGCTTGTGTTTTTACTTGCTTTCGAAATTTCATGTATTCATTTTCGGAAAATGTCCCAAGTATATCTTAGCTAGTAAATTTTTTCGCCCTTCGAAAACCTCAATAAATTTAGAAATAATATCTTTAGAAATTAAGTTTTTTAGGTATATACATTTAAAATCAATAATCTATTAATTAAATCACAAATGTTTTTGGAATTAGAGTTTATATTAACCTGCATTGTTCGTTACCAAAATTTCATATAAAAAAGGGAAAAAACAAAAAAAGTACTTTTTATATAAATGATTAGTTTATTTATGTATTTACTTTATTTTCGTTCATAAGATAATAAATATTTTTTTTTCTCTAAACTTTTATATTCATCAAATAACATGAAATAAAAAATGAATATATATTTTTAATTTAAATAAGTCATGACATTCCCATAGTTTGTCCATTGAATTGCATTTTTGTTATGTGTTTCTTTCCTAATCTTTTCCTTCTTCATACTCTTTTATTGCTATTTTCCTACCATTTTCTATTTTTTAATTTCCCTCTCAATGACGGAAAAATAAATTCCGTCTCAATCCTACTCCTACTCTATTGCTTTTTCTTCTTACAACCACTTTCTATATTAATTTTTTATTCTTTCTTTCACTGTCTCCATCTTTCCTCTTGTCCTCTTCAGTTTAACTCACTCAGTTTTATTATGCCAATTGTTCTGAAAACACCTTAAATGAGGGAAGCGAAGTTTACTTCAATTTGTATAGTTATTATGTAACACCTTACATAGTTGAAGGAAAAGTTGAAAACGTCAAGACTTCTTGGGCACAATGAGATAGAGAAATTGTTTTTTTTTTAAAAAAAAAGAAGTGATAAAATGATAGATAACAGTATACTATCTGATTTGGAGTAAATGTTCAACAAATCATCTTAAAAGGTGCTTATTATCAGTTATTGCAATACGAATCACACATTTGCATTAACATACTAATGACATTAAAATTAACCACAATTCTAATTTTAAATCTAGCATTAAGCCAACAGAGAAATTCAAAATAGAGAAAAGTCAAAATAATTGATTATTATTCCTTCAGCTGTCCCAAAAAGTCTAATATATATTTCGAGAGTCAAACTTCTTAATTCAGATGGCAAATTGAGATATAGAATCTCAAAAGTTTAAAATGGTGAAGCTTTTTAAAATTCTATATTTGAAAATTATATAAAAATTATTATTAGTCATAATAGTTAACAATTTAAAATACTTAAATGACATAAAAAATCGCACTAAAAAGCCACTCATTTGACACTCTGAAATTAAAAAAATATCAGCTTTTTTGGAGAGAGAGAATATTACTCCTATTGTCCCATTTATGTGATATTTTTTGTTTATTAAAATTTAAACTTCTTAGTTTTGACTTTTGACTATGAATTTGAATATAGAATTTTTAAATTTTTTAAAATAAAATTTAAAATCTACATAAAAAGTATCATATGTTATATTAATAATTAAAAATTCAAAATATTTAAAATATATATGAATGATTGCGGTCAAAAAATGATTCGTTCATAAAAGGGGAAGGGGACGGAGAGAGTACATACCAAATAAAAAATAAGCAAATTGTATATCCGGGAAGCATTAGTACAATTATCATATAAATAGAAAATCAAAGGATCGGAGCAACATAGAAATCTGAAATATTATGTGGAAAATTTAGAAACATGTTTAGTTTAAGCATCAAGTCTGATCCTCGAAGGGAAGATGCCTGTTAGATCTTCATATCTAAACCATGAGTAAACAGACAAAAAAAATGATGAAGACTATCAAACTAAACCACATACTCATCTGCCCATCTCACACTTAGGATACTGTCAGAAAAGTTAAAATTTTGATTTTGTCTGGGGACTTAAGATTTCTCATTATCAAATTACGTTGCTCGATCGGGAACTTTCAAAGGATTTCTCTCATAAGCTTTCGGATCTCTAAGGCTGTGATCTCTGTCAATTTTCGACGTTGACCATAGATCTTGCAACGGTAGTAGTCAGATTTTTGTCATTATATTGACGCTTATTATTGTAGACATAAAGACACGAACGGCGATATTACCGTGGAGAGAAAATCGGTATGAATGGCCTGCAGGTGTTACTGGAAAGTGGTATGGTTGTGTAGGTGTTGCCGGATGGATGCCGCTGTGAAGGAAAAAGGGACAAGAGATTTCTGTATATTCATAGTGTTGCACAAAGAGTAAAAGCGAACTTATTCCATAATTGTAATGTAATTGGGATGGCAATTACAAAATACGTAGAAATATGAGGAAGAGAAAAGGCGTGACTTTCAAGCGGAAGAGAAAGAGGCGTGACTTTTTAACTTTTAATAGATCACTTAGTTAAAGGGAAAAAAAGGCAAAAATCTGACAAAATAGGAAAATATCTATATATGTAGATATATAGATAGATATATAGATATCTTAATAAAAGCGGAGGCCATTCACGGACAATATCACAATTCACAGGATGTGATAGATCAAGATTATTTTCCTTTATTTCCATTTGGGTTATAATAACTATTTTGAACCTAATGTGCACATGCATTCTTGTTTTTGGTTTCAATCAAGTTATTTTCGTAAAGTTGTTTAATGTTGGTGTAAGAGATTGAGGGGTGCCTAAGAAATCTTTTTCTACTTTATGGGGGTGTGACATCTAAAAGAAGAATCTGACCCCTTTTCTATTCTTCCTTTCCTTTTTTCTTTTTTGAAAATAATGTACGTACGTGTCTATAGGTGTAAAAGTCAGATGCCTGGTCTGGTTGCAAACTTGAGCGACCGCCACGTATCTTGCCGCTTTCGTCTTATAACTTTGTGCTGTCAACATCTCTGTTGCTTGCTAACAAGTTAAGAAACTTCAATCCAAATCTAGTATTCTTTTGTCCTCATCTCTAAACTCCCTTGTCAGTTCTCACTGGTTGCAGATAACACAAACTTATAAGATCAGAAGACTCTTGTACTGTTCTCTAGCCTCGTAATTGCCCTTTCTTACTCAAGTTTCTTTTTTCAGCAGCAGATATCATGGGTAAATTCTTGACTGTAATCACCCACCTTCATACTCTTGCTGGGTAATTTTCCTTTTCATTTTTCATTTTCCATTTTCTTCTTTCCCTTTCTTGTGAAGCTTTAACTTCGTTCTGATTTTAATATTTTGGAAACGAACTCCATGCAGGCCAGTGGTGATGTTGCTCTATCCTCTGTAAGTACTCATTTCTTTTTCTTGAAAAAAAAAAATTGATCCTAAATGAGCACTCTCTATATAATTAATGCCTTTTTCGATGATCTGTTAAACATTTTTGTTTCGTATGAATAAAGATATGCATCTGTGGTGGCAATAGAGAGCACATCGAAGCTGGATGATGAGCAATGGCTTGCTTATTGGATTCTCTATTCTTTTCTCACTCTTATGGAGATGGTCCTTCAGCCCGTGCTTCAATGGTTCGCAACCTCCTAATTCTTAAACACCCCCCTAAGCAAAGAAAAATAACAATGTAATTTATTTTTTTTTTAAATACGTGGGTTGAATATTTATTTATGTTGTAGGATACCAATTTGGTATGATGTGAAGTTGGCGCTAGTGGCATGGCTGGTACTTCCACAGTTCAGGGGAGCTGCTTTTATTTATGACAAGTTTGTTAGGGAAAAGCTCATCAACAAATATGGAGCTTCATATTTCAGAGACAAGTCTCCCCCTCCAGCCAAGGTGATTGTCCTTTAATTTGTTTCTCATAAATAGATTATATAGTTTCGTTTATCTTTTAATTGTGGTAGTTAAAGGTATTAACTTTAATAAATTACAACGCGTTCATTTATTGCATTTCACAAAAAAGACTACAATACTGTACCGCATTTTCATGGCAATCTTTTTGAGAGAGAATAATATACCCATGAATGTAGGCAATATTTCTGATACCAAGTCAGTAAGTTGATTCTTGTAATTTATCTTCTTTTTGTTTTATTGGTTTTTGGGACAGGTGGAGCGTGAAACCCAGTGAGGATAGAGGAGGTGAAGGATTAATCTACATATGTGGAATTAAGCTTTCCTCTTTCGTTTTCTAATCAGCGAAGAATTACACTGTATTTTAGTGCTGTAGATCAAATGAGCAGATAATGTGGATGTCGTGAATGTTGTATCATCACTTTAATATATACAATCTGTTTGCTTGTTAACGAAAGTGTCTATATATATTCTTCCAATTATTTAGTCTGAGAGATGCATGTCCGGGATTAGAGCTTGAAATCTATTCTCATTAGAACGTAATTGTATCGCGAGTGTGTTCAAAGTAGTCGATCTGCATGTGTCGCAAAATGAGTGCATATGAAAAGCGGATGTGATTTAACGCCAGAACTGACTTATTTTAGAGCAAAAAATTGAAGTTTTTTTCCTTTGTGTTGTAAATCTCCAATACAGAGGAATATTCTCATTGGAGAGTAAGAAAAACTCCAAAGACTCAAAGGAACAGTTGATTGAAGCCGGCCTTCTTCTGTAAAACGAATCAAAACATGCCTGAGATCTGCTGCTCTTCCATGCCTTTTTAGAGTGAAATACTGTCAGGGCAGGCTATTCAAATTTACTATTCTTAATTTGAAGCATAACATGTAAATATATATGTAAAAGTGATGAACTAATTAAACTTTCAATGAATTTAGTGCTAAAGATTGAATTTATTAAGTTAAAACTACAAAATCATCTTATCAAGTTTAAATTTCTAAATTTGTTATACTTATTAAATGAAAATTCTGAATTCATACCAGGTTAAATGCTGAATCTGAATTTTCTTTTTACGGCTCATGATTGGCCTTTGAATTTACGGAACATGCAATGTTCGTGATTCAGCAGAAGCATGCCAAGATAACTAAAACAAGCTTTCTCATCTGTTTTAGTGTAAAAGATTACAAGCAGCAAGTTTTAACACTAAAAATAAGGGAGGGGAAAAAGGATCATTATAACTACAAGAACGAGAGAACAAGAACAAAAAGACCTTTGATGAAAGAAGAGAAATCACAGCGGGGAGACCGTAAATAGTACGAGAGAGGGAAACCTTAGATTTTCCGTTTGTATAATGTCACAAAAGGAACTTTGGGTGGGTATAATTTGATTTAAGGGTTGAAGCTATTTTGTTTCAACCATTTAGAAAGTTTACATGTTTTATATTTCAGTGGATTCATTTTCTAGACTCGTCCCAAACAAAGCTGAGTATGTCACTAGGTTGGACATTGCTATGTACGTTATGCTATGCGCTTAAAGCGGATAGATACTACATTTTCCGTAGGTATTACATCCAGTAGGTAAACTGTTTACCCGAAAATTGGTACAGTTGAATTTGTTCGTGGTTTCTAGACAGGTAGATTAATATGGCCCAAAGAAGTGTTGAATTAATCAATTTGGATGCCAAATACTTAGCCCAAAATGCAGATGGAACTATAGATCTGAAGAGCCCGAGGACAGAGTCTCCGGGCACAATAATAATAAGACCAACAAGCTAGAGAGAGAAAAATAGTATCAAGATGCTGTGTTAAAATATATTCTTTTATGTCCAAAAGACTGTCCTTACAATGGGCATTGAGCCTATTATTTATAGCTCAGTGGGCGTAATGGCCGGGCCCACTACTAATGATAATTATTGAAGTGCGATAATGGAAACCTAACGGTAAACATAAATGCTCAAAACTCTGTAACGAGCCGTTACTCTTTAATACTATGGAATATTCTTTATTAAATGCCACCGGGCGCAGCGTGCTTAATGCCTTTATGAAGTTGCCTTTCTCGGTGACACATGAAGTAGTTGTACCCGGTTTTCTGTTCTTCCGGCTTTGGTCCCACGTGTCCCCTTATTTGGTAGCCATGTGCCGTAACATATTTTACCCAATACAGATAGTCCCCATGCTTTCCGGTGACATAACTTTGTGTTAACGGGAAGTTGGTGAAAATCCTCTTTTAGCAGGAATTACTATAATTCCTTTTGGAGGTTACTGATGGTTGATTAGACGTCTGTCTCTCCGCATTTAATGCCCCGAACACGCGTCTTCCTATGATTTAGCACACCTTTTACCGGTTATCGAGGTAACCTTAGCCAAGTATTTAGCTGCTCAAAACTCCAACTATGCGTATCAACTTCCCTTTCCTTTGAGTCTCAAAACTGCTTGAACTTCCGACTTGTATCCCTATTCTTCATCCCTTCTCTAATTTCCTTCTAACACAAAATCTTTTCTTCCCCTTTTCTCATGGCATCTTCATCCAAATGTACTGGTTCTTCGAAGAGCAAGAACAAAAACGAGGATTCCGCTCTTCCAACAGGAAGTTCCATAATCACATGAAGGCTCAATACTTCAAAGGATTTTGAAGAGAAATTTCCCACTGAAAACCCTCGTTCTTGGGCGGTTAGCAGGTACTCATCTTCCATTCGTCCTTCCAGTATTCCTGTTGTGAAGGAAGATTGCAGCTGCCAGGAACTGGACATTATTGCTCTTGATTTATCGGAGCGAGTGACTCTTCCCCGGGAGAGTTTTACATATTTTTATACGTACCCCTTTATTTTGGGAGTGTTTTCTTTGACCGGAGATCTTGACACTGTGATAGCGAAATTTTGTCTCCGTTATCAGGTGTGTTTGGCACAGGTAAGTACTTCTGTGTGGAGGACGGTCGCCTGCCTTCGGCGCTTGTGCCTGGAAACCAAAGAAGAGCTAACATTGGCTCACATGGTGAACCTGTACTCCCCCAAGATCTTCCGCGGGGGAATGATAAACCTTTGCAAGCGTGGCCACAACGCTTTGATATCTAGCATGGATGATGACAACGACCGAGGGTGGATGAAATGGTTCGCTGTAGTTGTCTCTGGTGACATTATTCCAACAACGGCTTTATCTTTTCCAGTTGCTTGGAACCTCTCTCGTAAGTTCCTTTTAACATGTCTTTTCCTCCTAAATATTCTTTCCCGTTTGTATAAGTATTGATCCTTTAACACCCATATGTCACAGCGACTTGATGGGTCCCACTGGTGGTAGAAGGCTTGGACCGGTGGGTTCAGAAGATTTTGGACATCACCACGCCCGAAATTCGCTTGTGGAAAGAGTTATCCATTAAATACGGATGGAAGGCCAAAAATTATGGTAACTTAATTTTGCCTTGCTTTAGCTTCTGTTTATGAGGAATTTGGTTGGACCCTTCTTATTCGTTTATGATTCATAAAATTAGGTCTACCTGCGGGCTCGGTTGAGGTCCCCAAGGAGGATGCTTTGGCCGACCCTGTTGACGCGGTGAGGCTACTTCAAGAGGCACTTACTCGAACTGGTGCCTCCGGGTCCGCTTCGGGCGCAAGCGTGTCTTTACAGAGCCCCCGGCCAGAGAACAAACAACCAAAAAGAAGGCGTTCCTCTACGGTCGGGGAAAATAAAAAGAGGGCAAAGGTTGATGCTCCCGAGTCATCCCTGGTGGCGACATTGGCTGGTCCTCCTTTTGGGCCGGTCATCGACACTGTGATGATCAATGATGATAAGGGAGCTTCTTTACATAGAGGACAACAATCCTTATCCTCTCAATAGGGTGCTCAACCGGTTGATGTAGTCACATCCGCCGAGGATGATGTCTCGGCACTTTGGGGAGAGTTTGATTTGGTGGAAAATTCCAACCCCCGTTCTCTGGCCCCAATTATTGTACCCGGTACTGTGAGGCAGAGTACCGGGTCCTTGCCGTCTTCGGTTGGTGAGCACCCAACACCCAGTGTTGCCTTCGATGCAGTTGTTTCCCGTTCTTCCCCTTTATCAGCTTTATCACAACTTTCTTCACCACCAACAGCTGCTACATCATTTCCATCTTCATCCACGCTTCCACCAACAACATCATCTCCAACGGCCACACCTGACCGTGCTAAAGGAGTTCCTCTTCCTCGATCCCCTATTCAAGGGAATTTGGGGAAAATTATGTTGTCCCTTCTGACGATCCTCAGAGGAGGAGGAGTGTTACCATTTTGGTCTCTACCAGGTGCAACCTTCTTTCCCGGCCGGTGGAGCTTGCAAATTATCTGAAGCCCTTGGCTTCAAAGAAGGATTGGAGAAAGATTCAGACACTCTCCGGAGAGTGTTTGTTGAACAATGTCATGCATAATGCTGCAGCGGTATGTTTCTTTCTTCCTTTGCTATTTTTTCCAGCTTCTGAATGAGGCATTTTAAGTTTTACCTTTTCTTATCTTGCAGGCCAATTTTCTTGCTTCCGAGGGCCTACAAAGGTTAATCCGCGAGAAGGACGAACTCTCTTCTGAACGGGATCAGCTTTTGGCAGAATGGGACCAGACTGTTCTTCGCCTCTCGAAACTGGAAACCAGGGCCACTGAGGTCGTTGTTTTGGAAGCCTGTTTGCGGCAAAGTGAGCAGGAAGTGGTAACCCTCAGCCAAGAATTTGGGCCGCTGAGGGCTGGTTTTGATGAAGTCAAGGCTAAATGGGCTGAGGTCTAGAATGCCATTCTTGCTGCCAACGATCGTGAGGCTGCTGCTGCTGAAAGGGTAACCAATTTAGAAGTAGCCTTGAATTCTAAGGTCGAAGAGTTTGCTACTGCGGGGGCGAAACATGCTCGGTTAGAGGAGAAGTATAAGAAAACTATCGAGCACAACATGTTCTATAGTTCAACTATTCATGATCTCGATGTTAGTCTCCAGTCTGCCAGGTCCGCCCAGGAAAGTTTTTCTACCGAGATAACTCAGCTCAAAGAAGAACTCAAGGGCCGAGAGGCTTCCCTCGTTGTTGAAAAGACTTATGCTATGTATAGCATGAGGAGGAAAACCTTGGAAGAGGCCAAGACTGGTATCTTTGACATTGATGTCGAAATTGCTAAGGGCCGAGAGCTTGAGTTGGCTGCAAAAAATGGACTCCCGGCAAGGTCTGATGCTCCCGGTTCTTCTGATTCCGTTTCCGAGTTTTCGGACACTGAAGAGGAATTAGAAGGAGATCAAGCTGGAGAAGATGTTGAGCCATCGGTTGAACCGTCTACTGCTACTGGTGATATGGATACTTCCCTTCCTCCTGATTCCGGTGATGTTGTAGCTTAGCTTTTTCTTTCCCTATTTCGTATTTCTTTTGGCACATTCTTGTAAATGAAGACATATTTTGCTTGAATATTTGTGCATATTTTCCTGTATGTGG